CACACACACACACACACACACCACACACACACACACACACACATATGTGAGTGAGTAATGGCGGAGGTGATATGTAGGGGCACGCAATATTGGAGAGACACACACACGGAGCTTTTACCATTACTAATTATCTTCTTATTTGGGCTGGACGGTAGAGCAACGGTCTCGCTTCATGCAGGTCGGCGTTCAATCCCCGACCGTCCAAGTGGTTGGGCACCATTCCTTTCCCTCGTCCCATCCCAAATCCTTATATCCTGACCCCCTTCCCAGTGCTATATAGTCGCAATGGCTTAGTGCGTTCTCCCTGATAGTTCCCTTATCTTCCACCATCTGTACCATGGCAGTTCTACCTTCACCTGCGTCATTATCACCATCACCACCATCACCTGCACTATCACCTGCACCATAATTCCCCCCCCCCCTCACACACACACAATGCTGCCGAAGCGTCTAGTCATTTATGTAAACAATTCACATCCTGCAGGATTTCCAGACCCCTGACTCACGCCTCCACCCACACCTTCCATCCACCCACACCCCTCTTCCACCCCACATCCCTCTCTTCCACCCCACACTGCCTCTCCTCCACCCACACTTTTCCTACATGGTGGGGTGAGGAAGGGAACGTTCCAGCACAGTTTTTTTTTATTATTATTATTTTCTACCACAGACGTGGCCACACATTTACAATGCTGTGCTGGAACGTCTAGGGGTGGAGGGTTGGGGGGGGCTGGTATAGAAGGCGTCAAGCATGACAGCTGGAGGTGGGGTAGAGGTGGGTGGGGGCCCTGGAGCTTAATCTCGCCCCCTCTCCCCCTTTGTGGACACAACTAGGTAAGCACAGATATACCAGAACACGAGAACACAAACAAACACACTATACACACTGGTAGAGACGCGGAGGTGCACACAGATTGTAACCAGGATGGGTGATGCACTTAGGTCGTTACAGGAGACACGAACCCTGGCGTGTCTGGCTGTGGATCATCCCCCCACCCACCCCACCCCTCTCTCCCTTCTCACTCCCCCCCCCCTTCCTTCTACTACTCTCTGACTCTGTGACCTTCATGCTGTTATTGCTATCTTGTCCCCCTCTCTGTCCACCATGAGAAGGCCTTGACCTCACCTAGAGTGACCTCGATATCATCTCTCTCTCTCTCTCTCTCTCTCTCTCTCTCTCTCTCTCTCTCTCTCTCTCTCTCTCTCTCTCTCTCTCTCTCTCTCTCTCTCTCTCTCTCTCACAAACCTTGTAAGTTTGTCTTGTGGACAGCCTCAGCGTAGTGACCTAAGCTGACCTTTCTGGATCATAATATATAACCTGATAGCCATGCGAATTAGCTTGACCTTCATGGTAATTGCGGAGCCTGATTAGTAGTGGGTATTAAACGACCCTCTTTGATTGGCGGTTGTGTGAGGCCGCCACGTGACCTTACACGACCTTATTTTGCTTCACTCGGCCAATCAAAGACCCGCCCTAAGGTCACTACAACCTTCCGCGACTCCAGTCTTGTATGTCATGTGTGTGGTGTATACATGTCAAAGAGTACGTGTGTGTACGAGTCATGTATGTGTACATACACCGGGCACAACCAATATGGCGGCTGCTACTGTTGTCATGGTGACATCAGTGCGTCCTGATTGGTTCATTGTTGACGTCATTATTTTGTCACCATGGGAACAGCTTTTTCAGCCCGCTGATTGGCTGCACATTGGTACATGGTGTTTTGACATATTTCATATACTTTTAGTATATTTGTTACAGGGAAGTGATATATATTCTTATAGTTCAAAATGAATAATATACAAATTCTCTCTCTCTCTCTCTCTCTCTCTCTCTCTCTCTCTCTCTCTCTCTCTCTCTCTCTCTCTCTCTCTCTCTCTCTCTCTCTCTCTCTCTCTCTCTCTCTCTCTTCCGTCTTAGCGTTGAAAAAAGCATTAATCATCCTAATCCCATGATTGGCTAGAGCGTCGACTAATCAGAAGAGAGCTCTGACGTCAACGTAGGCATCAGCTGTTTTTTGTTTACATTCCGTGCTAGCTTCGCTGGTCAAAGCTTGCAGGGCCACCAGGCCCTGGTGACTGTCATGCCCGGATAGGGAACGGTAGGGGAACATCATAGGTTGTTATCTGAGGACGAGGAATTGGTCCTAGCTAATCACATCTCTAAGTGTGTGATTAGGACGAGACTCACATCTCAACGTCTAATCAAAACGTTGATCCAAAAATGATTAGACGTTGAGATATAAGTTTTGCACTAATCACACACTCAGACCTTTATAAAGCACTCAGGAGAGTACGACTTGGTGTAACTTCCTTACATAAATTTCACATATACACAAGACTAGGCTTTTATCCTAAAATACCAATAATAAGCGATAATAATATAATATCAATAATACTAATAAAAATAAAGTACTAATAATTATAATAACTAATAATACTATTAATAATAATATAACCAGCAATTCGCATGAATGGTGTTTGCGACACTGTCATAACTTATCATGATCTAAATGGGAACCCGCCAGCTTTGTGTTTATCATGTGATCACGTGGTCACACACACACAATGTCTTATTTGACCTCTACCCTGAGGTGTGACCTCCACCCTGAGGTGTGACCCAGTGACACGTCCTGTGTGTGTCAAATGGGTGGGTGGGGGGGGGGCGGTTGACGCCTCCCGCTGCTCGCGTGTTATGGGGAGTTTCTTGCTTGGTGACGTCACGGCTCGCGTCACGAATGGTATATGTGTGCTTGTCTAGTTATATATGCAATGTCGATTTCTAGCTCTTGGCTCCCCACCGTCTTTTCAGAAGTCTAAGGCAATGAATTTCGCGTACTTCTTTCTTCCCCCCCCCCCCCGTCTCATCCCAAATCCTTATCCTGATCCCTTCCAAGTGCTATATAGTCGTAATGGCTTGGCTCTTTATCCTGGTAAGTTGCATTCCATTCCGACCTATTTTTTTTATTTATTTGTAACTTTTTAAAATATGTAGATTACAGGTATTTTTTGTATTAACAAATTAGGAATGCCATCTTTTTCTCTATTGAATTTGAAGGATTACAGCGTGTAGATGAGACACTAGCGATGAGTTCATGTAATATGCCCATCTCACACGATGCTTAGTCATACATGCCATCAGGAGAGCACATGAAATACCAGTCTAATAATCTATTAGCCTGCACTAACAAACTCTGGACAGAGCACAAGAATATCCTCCAATATTCGTGAGTGTATGAAGTAGTTAGAGAGCTCAAACTATCTCATACCATTAGGTCTGAAATCATCGGTAACAGGGGCAGTCATAGATATAGCGTTTGCCAGAAACGATATGCGTGCTAGTGGCTTTACAAGAATGTAAAATCATCATTTTTTGGCGGGTAGAAATAGCCTAAGCTACTTTATCCCTGTGAGATGTATTTTTTTTTCTTGTCTCAATAAACATACTTGAACTTGAATCATCATCATTATTATGTACTCTCTCTTAACCCCCAATGTACCTTAAATTTAAATTTTAAATTTTGCCCCGAGGGGCGAGTTTATTGGGCAGCGCCACTCATCTTGTGAGTGGACACACCGCCATAGCAGCATGTACAACACTCCCCAATAGGAAGAAAACCCGCTGGGTTGTTCATCCTGTCACTTGTACCCAGACACAGCTGGGACTTGTCAAGTGAACAACTCCTCTTGTATATAAATAAAAAAATAGTGTTGGGAAGAGAAATCTTCTCAACAGAAGATTATGTCTTCTGTATATAGAATATGTTATGTATATCGAGTATGTCCCAGCTCTTGTTCTCATAATTTACAACCGGAATATCCATCAATTGACGGAGTCATTACCTGCAGCCACCTGAGAGAGATATATCGATATCCTAGCTCGATTCTGGCGATTATAATGTGACACTGGCTAGTGGATGCTCCGTGCAGCCCCTACGTGCAGTTGTCAGGCAACCCGCTTGGGCTCTGGTGTACGTCACGGAGCTCCACACCAAACGCTCCCGTCAAACAAAAATTAGATTGGGCATTAGCTCAGTGCCTCCAAATTTCTAGTGGGTACTGACGAACTCCTGGGGCCAGATTCACGAAGCAGTTACGCAAGCACTTAGGAACGTGTACATCTTTCCTCAATCTTTGACGGCTTTGGTTACATTTATTAAAACAGTTTACAAGCATGGAAACTTGCCAATCAACTGTTGTTATTGTTATAAACAGCCTCCTGGTGCTTCGAAGCTCGTAAACTGTTTAATAATTGTAAACAAAGCCGCCAAAGATTGAGAAAAGATGTACAGGTTCGTAAGTGCTTGCGTAACTGCTTCATGAATCTGGCCCCAGGGACGATGGGGTTGGGGGGGGGGACGTTTGTAAACATTTGATTAGGCTGCGTCATTGTCTATCAGAGAAAAAGATGGGGCTCAGAAATCCACCATTTGTCCCTGAATTCTTCTAATTATATTTAACAGCTCCCTTAATTGTAGGCTACTGATTAATTAACCAGTAGGCTATAAACTCTACAACTTGATAATTCAATTAAAAAAATTGAGAAGTTAGAAGCATCATGGAAAAGAAAATAACTTTGATGCTCAAGAATACATAATATTATAGCCTGCCTTCAAGCGTCTATATTTGTACGCTAGGAATACAAGCGCACTATTTTGAACTGTATATTAATGGAAATAAAATGATTATATACAAATACCTTTTCCAGAACTAATGGTCAGGTCAACCTCTTGACTTCAACATCCCCAACACACAAAATATGTTGTACTATACTAGAAAGACTTGCAGCTTACAACCCACGTTTTCTTTGCGTGCGTCGAATATAGGTTAGGTTCGGGCAATTTCGTACATCATTTTCTGTCCGGTGTGATAATTCGGAGCATCACATCAGCCTTGATACGTTAAGAGGAGTTGGTGAGGATTTTTTTGTTATATTGAGTAAAGTAATTATGAGGAGAAAGCACTAAGACAATATGACTATGGTATGTACTCACATAGTTGTGCTTGCAGGGGTTGAGCTCTGGCTCTTTGGTCTCAACTGTCAATCAACTGGTGTACAGATTCTTGGGATATGAGGACAAGAAACTGGGATATGAGGACAAGAAGCTGGGACATGAAGACGGTGTTAAATGACCAGTGCCTAACGACCTGGACCATCGGGAATCGAACGTCGACTCTGCAAGAAGCGAGACCGTTGCTGTATACCGACCAATCCAAGTGGTCGGGTCTGATATAAGGTAAAAGCCTACGCTTTTGCAACCCGTTCTCACACAAGACAGCACATATATGACTTAATGCTTAAAGTCAATATGTTGAATGTGATTTAGTACATATGTGATATATTCCCAGCTTTTGACCGTGAAAAGTGGCTGAATATTGAATAGTTACCCCAAATAACACTACTTCTGAAGGGGGGAGTGGGGGGGGGGGTGGAGCATTCTCCGAGAGACAGCAAATCCGAGGAGTTAAATTCTCGTGAAAGTCAATGAGCAAATGAATCAAGGATTATATTCCGTGTTTTGAGAGTAATTACTCTATAATTATCCTAACTCGCTGGAGACCAATCTTAAGTTGGAAACTCGTAAAGTTGATAACTGCAACGCTTTCCTGTGCAAAAAACCCACTAACGTAATTAACATATAGTCACTGCTAATATTAGCAGTTGAAATAGTAAAGGAGTGGGAATAGTAGTTAAATTATAGAAATAGTGGCGTATTAGAAATAGTAGATAAGAGTAGAAATAGTTATCGTGGTGGTAGTCGTAGTAACAATACTAAGAGTACTACTCAGTATTTCAAAGAGGTTAACAATGCAGCAACCCCCCCCCCCACTGTCTCCAGAGTTCACTGACGTCAATATATTGAGCGTCAAAGACAGCGTGCACCTTACCCAGTCAATCTGTCCTTTGAGTACTGCTCTCAAATTCCATTAAAAATGCATTGATTGGAGGCCGCCATTATGGGCGGGTTCAGTCATTGTCGGCTCTCTCTTGTTCCTTTTTATTCGTCTTTATTGGTGCTCTTATTTCCGGGGGAATAATCACCGATGTTTATGGTAACTTGTAGGAAATGGGTGAGATTATTTTAGCTTTGTAATTTAGGTAATGGCAGCCTAGTAAGATTTGGGATTAGGGCGGGTGTGGGTTATTTTGTAAATGGGGGAACTCCGTATGGTAATCAACCCGTACTCAGACCAGGGCCCAAATTCACAAAGCAGTTACGCAAGCACTTACGAACCTGTCCATCTTTTCTCAATCTTTGGCGGCTTTGTTTACAATTATTAAACAGTTAATGAGCTCCGAAACACCAGGAGGCTGTTTATAACAATAACAACAGTTGATTGGCAAGTTTTCATGCTTGTAAACTGTTTAATAAATGTAACCAAAGCCGTCAAAGATTGAGGAAAGATGTACAGGTTCGTAAGTACTTGCGTAAATGCTTCGTGAATATGGGCCCAGATTCACGAACGCAAACACTTACGAACGTGTACGTCTTTCCTCAATCTTTGACGGCTTTGGTTACATTTATTAAACAGTTTACAAGCATGAAAACTTCCCATTCATCTGTTGTTATTGTTATAAACAGCCTCCTGGTGCTTCGGAGCTCATTAACTGCTTAATAATTGTAAACAAAGCCGCCAATGATCGAGAAAAGATGAACACGTTCGTAAGTGCTTGCGTGAATCTGGCCCCAACTCCGTTACATCCAGCGGTCGACCCCACAGACGCATTCATAAATTTAAACATTATGTTAATTCAAAACAGAAATTTTCTCAAATATAAATTAATATTATATATTAGGTTATTGTTCATATTTTTTGTATTGGTCATGTTAGGTGTTTAGTTTCTGTTGGTGATTATTTGTATTTGTAGTACGTGGGTGAAGCATTTATAGCGTTGTGGTTCGAACAAAAGTCGTCAGTGAAGCGCTTGTTCCGGAAGTGTTCGGACGTCATCAGTTGTGAGTCGTGTGTAAACCGTTTGTCATTCATAAACACCTGGGGTTTGGCGGGTGCATGGAATGGACTTCGGACCTTTGTGTATGAGGACGGGCTGATGGTACAGCCCGTCCTCTAAACAAAGACCCAAAAGTGATTCCATGCACCCGCCAAACCCCAGGTGTTTATGAATGACAAACGGTTTACACACGACTCACAACTGCTGACGTTCGAACATATCCGGAACAAGTGTTTCACTGACGAATTTTGTTCGAACCACAACGCTGTAAATGCTTCACCCACGTACTACAAATACAAATAATCGCCAACAGAACCTAAACACCTAACATGACCTAACCTATGGTTATATATACACAATATGCTAATATATTATAATGTTAATTTAGATTTGAGAAAATTCCAGTTTTGAATGAAGAGCATGTAAAAGTTTATGAATGCGTCTGTGGGGTCGACCGCTGGATGGAATGGACTTGAGTCGAGGACGGGTTGGATGGTAACACAGAATTAAGGGAGCCTCTCACGACATTTAAAATGATAACTTGCCTATTAGATTTTTGTTTAATTTGTATCGATTGTTCTTTGAGAATATATCAAATAATGTTGGCTTTTTATTACTGGTTTGTATGCCTATGTAAACGTCCAGCCATCATTCTTTACATGCCGATTTTTATATTATTTGTTTCGGGAAGGAAAGTGAGCGATGTTGATAAATGTTCTATTCTACGAATACAAACTTCAGTCTTATTGAAGAGTTTTGAAGTGCTGCCTACAGGGGTTCTGAGAATATGGCCCACTAGGCTCCGTCACAGTGGCAACATGTACCTCTGGTCCAGACTGACATTACACGTTACTGATTCTGTACACACATGTCGTGGCCCAGTCGACTAAGGCGCGTCTGGGATCATCCCGGACGTAGGTTCGAATCCTCATCACGGCCCTTGTGAACTTGTTCATTTACTGATTCTGATTATGCCCCGAAGGGTGAGTTAATTGGGCCGCGTCACTCGATCGAGTGATCGATCAGCCTGTGAGTGAACTTACCGCCATAACAGCATGCACGCCACTCCACCAGTAGGGCAAGAACCCCGTTGAGTTCTTCATGTTCTTGCGGGGAACTGTTCTTTACACAATTTCCATAAAATAACATAGAACTTCACTGGCACATACAGTGTAGCACAGTGGTTACTTTCTGGACTCTCAGTCATGGGACCCGGGTTCAATCCCCCGGGCGGGACAGAAATGGCTAGACACGTTTCCTTTCACCTGATACCACTGTTCACTTAGCAGTAAATAGGTCCCCCGGGAGTTAAACAGTTGGAGTTGGCCTGGGTATGGGTGGGGGGGGGGGGGATGTTGATAGGCCTAAGTACAGGCTGTGCTTGTACTCGGCCTCGACTGCATGACAAAGTAGGCCTAAACAAAGCCCCACTTTTCCTGAATCCGAAGCTCAAAGTGCATAGGCTGTTATGGTAGTTCGAATTATGGGAGTTCGAATCCTGTGTCCTCTTTTGAAGGCACGTACGTGCCGGCCTGGTGGCTCCCCCCCCCCTTCCTTGCTCCATATCCGAACATTCTGCCGCCTAGTGAGATATACATCAATAATGCAGCTGTATCGGTCCGGTCCATACAAGATGCAGTGTATAGATCGCTATAACCAGCGCGCAAGCATGTGCAGCTCTTCCGGGCGATGAACTGGTGTTGTGTACCAGGTGTACTGGTCTACCTGTACTGGTCTACCTGTACTGGTCTACGTGTACTGGTCTACGTGTACTGGTCTACCTGTACTGGTCTACCTGTACTGGTCTACCTGTACTGGTCTACCTGTACTGGTCTAGGTGTAATGGTCTACCTGTACTGGTCTACCTGTACTGGTCTACCTGTACTGGTCTACCTGTACTGGTCTAGGTGTACTGGTCTACGTGTACTGGTCTACGTGTACTGGTCTAGGTGTACTGGTCTAGAGACAGGTTTGGTGAGATATCAACTCCTAGATCTTTCTTTCTGTCCGTTTCACGAAGGACTTCATCTCCCATTCTGAATCCTGTGTCTGGCCTCCTGTGTCCACCGCCTAGCTTCATTACCTTACATTTACTCGTGTTGAACTTTAGTAGCCATTTGTTGAATCATTCATTTTGTCTAGGTCCTTTTGTAACCGCATACTATCTTTGTCTTAATCCTCCTCATAATTTTTGCATCATCAGCAAACAGTGAGAGGAACGATTCTATACCCTCCGGGAGATCATTTACATATATCAGAAACAGTATAGGCTCAAGGATTGAACCCTGCGGGACTCCACTGGTGACGCCTCGCTAATCTGAGACCTCACCTCTCACACTGACTCGCTGTCTTCTGTTGCTTAGGTACTCCCTTATCCAATGGAGTACCTTCCCTTTCACTCCTGCCTGCATCTCCAGCTTTTACACTAGTCTCTTGAGTGGCACTGTGTCAAAGGCTTTCTGGCAACTCAAAAATATGCAGTCTGCCCACCCCTCTCTTTCTTGCCTGGTCGTAGAATTCAATTAATCCTGTGAGGCACGACTTGCCATCCCTGAACCCATGTTGATGTTGTGTTACAAAGTTCCTTCCATCCAGATGTTCCACTAGCTTTTTTTCGCACAATCTTCTCATTCAGCTTGCATGGTATGCAAGTTAGGGACACTGGCCTGTAGTTCAGTGCCTCCTGTCTATCTTCCTTCTTGTATATTGGGAGTACATTTGCAGTCTTCCAAATTTTTGGCACTTCCCCTGTTATTAGTGATATGTTTATACACTATGGAGAGTGGCAGGCACAGTGCTTCTGCTCTTTCCTTTAGTATCCATGTTGAGATTCCATCTGGGCCTATAGCCTTTGCCACATCCAACTCTAGCAAGAGCTTCCTTACAACCCCACTGGAAATCTCAAACTCTTCTAGTGGTGCCTGGATAACTATTCCCTCAGATGGGCAGTGTGTGTGTGTGTGTGTGTGTGTGTGTGTGTGTGTGTGTGTGTGTGTGTGTGTGTGTGTGTGTGTGACCCAGGGCACATTTCGAGGACTGGCGTCACGAGGCTGCTCGTCCTAAGTCATTAGGGCTTGAAATAAACCTGGATTTCGTGAGATGAGACAGTTATTAAGATGTTGCGGCCCTTGCCCTAATTAGGTCCCACACGTGTGCTCGCTATATGACGTGAGGGCCAGCAGGGAGGTGCTTTTTTTATCTGGATGACGTCTTTGGGAATAGGCTTAAGCATATCAGGAATAGATTTGAGAATTTCAGGAATAGACTTGAGCATTTTAGGAA